AAGGGGAGCACACAAGGCAGTACCTATGCTCTCAAAGAAACAAAAACCCTAATCTTAGAATCCTAAACAGGATCATTCACAGACCCAATTTTGTTAGCCGGTTTGCCACATCCCAGGGTAATCAATACGTTTTCCTTCTTTGAAGAAATGATAATCAATAGTTTAGTGGTTACCAGAGGGTAAGGGGGGGAAGAGGGTGGTAGATGGAGGTAAACGGTATCAAATATATGGTGATGGAAGGGGTACTGACTCTGGGTGGTGAAAACACAATGTAATATATAGATGATGCATTATAGAATTGTACATCTGAAACCTATATAACTTTACTAACCATTGTCACCCTGATAAACTTTAATTTAAAAAAAAGAAATTATAATTATTCATTTCTAAAACTATATACACACACACACACACACACACGTGCTGATGAAATTGTCATGGTGGAAATACCTGAAGGATCACTGAGACATCATTTCACTTCTTTTTTTTTAAAGATTTTTATTGAGGTATTGGGGGGAAGGGAACAGTGCTGGGGAATTGGGGGAAGGGGAACAGACAAGTTGCCTGTTGTTTCGTTCTTCAGTCTAGTTGTGGAGGACGTTGCTTCACTGGCCCAAGCTGGCACCATCATCGCGCTCCTCCCGGGCAAGGCAGATCAGTCGCCGGTCTCTGGACGGCCGCTCACTGCGGCTGCTGGCCGCTCACGCTGGCTGCTGGCTACACACGGTAGCCCATGGCAACCCACTGCCACAGGGGCTGCAGCCCACGCCGTCGCCAGCGACCCACAGCAACCCAGCTCCAGGCTGAGCTGCCGTTCAGCATCCTAGCTGCGGAGGGCAGCGTCACTGGCCCTCACATGTGGGATCCGAACCGGGGCCCTCCGGCATCCCAAGCCAGCTCTTAATCATCGCGCCACTCGGCCGGCCCTCATTTCACTTCTAATGTGGTCCAGGCTCTGAATCTTCAAAACAATGAAATAGTGAAAGGCTTCACCAAAGATTTGGGTGGGGCCCATTTGCTTCAGCCCAGTGAAATAACCAAGTATTTAGTCAAACATGGCACAAACATATGCTGTGAAATCACAGGGTGTCATAGAGTGGGAGGACAGGGAGTAAACTAGACAATCTGAAGGTTTCGACTCTAAACTATGAACAATAATGTGAAAAGATTTGCAGGGAGGAAAACTCAGGCTGGAGTCCCAGCACTCCCACTTGAAGGGGTATAATCTTGGATAAATTACTTAGTTTCTTTAAGTCCCTGTTTTCTCATCTGGTGTGCAGAAGGGACAGTGGTACCTACTTCATAATTTCTTTATCAGGACTCCAGGAAATATAAATATATCAGGACTTTTTCCATAAGAGTGAGAGAAACCCCAATTCAAATTGGTTTAATTAGCAACTAAAAGGAATTTATTGTTTCACATCACTGTCAAATCCATATTACTCTCAGATCCAGCTGTTCCAGGTGCAGCTAGATGCAGGTATTCAAATGAAGATGTCTTGATATTAACTCTACAAATCTTGACTATGCTTTCCTTCTTAATGGCTTACTTCCTAGTCAGGCTATTTCTTTACTGACTTCTATCATCATTAGGCTTAGAGTCTGCTATCTTAACTTCCCCTGCAGAGTAAGAGCATCTGTCCCCAAACTTCAGCAGAAGTCCCAGAAATACCTTTCACTGGCTTAGTTTGGTCAGATGTCCTTTTCTGGGGTCCGGGGGTTGGGCACATGGACTGAGGTTGGGGGAGGTATGATCCTCTTAAAAAATTCTGGGTTTGCAAAAAGAAAAAAAAAAAAACTTCATTGTAATGAGTAAACTATCTGGAAAAGTGTTTGGTACATAATAAGTATCAGTAAGTGTATATTAATTTTCAAATAGAATCTATTTTTTTAAACCCTCAAATACATATGGAGAGCTACCAGCTTTCAGCCAAGTTTTCCAGGACTGAACCTACATGACTAGAATCTGTTTAATGTAAAGCAACCTCTAGTTAGGGCTGACCACAATATGTGATGTTTAACGTGACTCAACTTTTAGGATAAAAGCTGTTCTGAGTTTTGGAGAAAGCTCACAACTTTCCCTCAAAAAGCCTGCATGAAATCTAAGTAAATGATAACTTTGTGGATAATATTTTACTTTACTTATGGATTATCATAATGCTAGCAGAAATTATTCTTTTGTTCCTTTATACTGGAAGTAGGGCCAGAGGCCAAAAGCAAGAATTTACTACCAAGTAGCATGGTAAAACAGACTAGAATAGCACTCACCCCTACTAATCATATAAATAATATAAATAATTATGATGATTATTAAAATCTCTATGAGAGTTTATCATTCATCAATAATTACAGCTATCTAATAGGAACCTGAGGCATCAATACCTATAGTTCTGCTGTGAATATGTTAATTATCTATGACAGGAGCATTACATCACAATGTCAAGGTCTATATTAGGAGTTATGACAACATGCTGTGGTTTACCTTTGTGAAATGTCTATTTCCATGAATACAGCTTTTGGGATAAACTAATTAAACAGAATCTACTGACTCTACTGAATGGAGTTAAGGTTAAATTCAGTTGTTAATTCCCTTTAAGGATTTCAGCTTAAAGTGTAAACATTTGTTTTCATTTCAAACTCCTGTCTTCTAAACATGTAAGCCTCTAGTGTATTCTAAACAGCTAAGAGCTTCATTTGCTTTTATTTTTTTCTCACGAGACTTTAAAAAATTAAAAAATGGGGGTTATGTTTTCAGTGGTGTTTAAGAACAACAGTGAGCCATTATCCTACCAATAACAACTTGCATAATGTTTTCCCTTTCATTTTATCAGCCACCATTGACCTTAAGATTTATGAGCAAATGATCTTCTCAGTTTGCATTGACTGTGTACAAATTCTCCTCAAAACCCTGGTCTGGGGCTGGGAAGATGCCCACAACTGTACTGAATGTCAGCAACCTTACCGTTTGAAATGTATGCCTGTAGTTCTGGTTTTTTAGGTTTTTGTTTTTTTGGCATATTAGGAATAAAATTGTCAATTAGAGCCTTGAGATTTCTACCAGAAAATACGGGACCATGTTTAAAAAAAAAAGAAAAAAGAAATGGTCATTTTAATAAGGTGACTATATTTTCTCTACATAAAAATATATATGCTGTTGACATAAGAAATTTCTAACCCTGTAGAGAATAGTTCTGAGTGTATTTGAGCCAAACTGATGACAATTGCCAGGAAGCAAAATCTCAACGGATTGAGAAAATGCTCTGGAGAATGACATTAGAATAAAAGGAGGAGACTTAAGAAGGGTTGCATGAAATCCGTTAGTGGTAGATTAAAGGGGCAGGAGAAAGCAAAGAAGGGGAGGAGGGAATCTCTGCAATTGGATAAAAAGTAAAACGGAGACACATACTTCTTTAACATTGGTGAATACAAGATAGTTAATCATTTACATTTACAGCACATAGAGATGGTATGCGGGCAACAAGACATCAAACGAAGGGTTCTGCAGTCTCTACTGTGGTATGGTGGGTGTACCCTGAGGGGTCTGGAAAAGGAGATTACTCTGACATTTCAAAGGTATGTTATCCTAGATGCAAAAAGACAATAGACAGGCTCACTTAAGGTAAAGATTGACCTTTGTCAAGGAAGGTACAGACCTAAGACTTGCTTTCAGTTAGGAATTTTCATTTTCAGACCATCCTATGTGGTTACTTTTGGTCTCTGAGTTGGTAAGGCCCATCATGCAGGCCTGAGCTTGTCAGGTTTAGTGTGTGGCCCCTTTTTATCCACAATGCTCAGACCAAGATTTATCAACTGGAAAGCACTAGAAACAGGCAATTTTTATTATGCCCCATTGACTTTTTTAATCTAATAATTTGGATCAATACTGTAGCTAAATCAAAACAGTTGAGCACTGTAATCTCTGGAAATAAGATACTCTATTCTATGAGAATTTAAAGACTAATGGCCACATTCAAAAGTCATTAACATATTCAATATCTCAGTGACACGAAATTAAACCTCTCAAACATAACAAGAAGAAGAAAAATTGCCAATTCATGTATTGGGTTGTTGGAAAAGTCATGACGCATGTTTGAGACAGATGGCACTAGTTCATTTTTGGAAGCACTAGAGTCATTAGTATTTATGTTATTAATTTGACAGCTGACAATTCTAGCTTCATTTAAAAAAAATTGAGTGATTTGTTTGAGTTTTGGAGACTTTACAACAAGCTCTAGATGGAAGACCAAACTGCGCATTTTTGCCATATTTTATTGTCTTACTTCCATAAAGGGAAGAATGCGCGTCAAGCTTGTGAAAAGTTGCATAAAGTTTATGGTGACAATGCTCTACAAGAACGTCAGTGCCAACGATGGTTCACAAAATTCCATGCTGGTGATTTTGATCTCAACGATGCTCCTTGGTCAGTGAGGCCCACTGAGGTTGATGACAACAAAATAAAGGCACTGATCGAGTCAAACCCATGTTACACGACACAAGAGATTGCAGAAACACTGAACATCCATCAGTCAAGCATAAACGACCACCTGAAGAAGCTGGGATACGTAAGCAAGCTCGATATTTGGGTTCCGCATGAACTCAAAGAAGTTCATTTGACAGAGCGTATAAACATCTGCAATATGCTCATTAAACGTGAGGAAAACGATCCTTTTTTAAAGCGACTGATAACCAGTTGGTGATGAGAAATGGATTGTTTACAATGTGGTGTGCAAATGGTCTTGGTCCCGATGTGATGATTCGCCTCAAACGACATGGAAAGCAGATATTCATCAGAGGAAGGTTATGCTCTCAGTGTGGTGGAATTTTAAATGTGTTGTGTTTTTCGAGCTCCTACTAAAAAACCAAGCAATCAATTCGAATGTGTACTATCAGCAATTGGACAGTTTGAACAAATCCATCACCCAGAAACGTCCAGAGCTTGTTAATTGTAAAGGAGCTGTGTTCCATCATGACAACGTGAGACCACACACAAGCATAATCACCTGTCAAAACTTATTGGAGCTTCAAAGGGATGTGTTGCCACACCCACCATACTCGCCTGACATTGCACCATCAGACTTCCACTTGTTTCACTCTCTTCAAAACTCCTTGCATGGTATAACGTCCAATTCAGATGAGGCTGTGAATCAGCACCTTGTTCAGTTTTTCGCAAATAAAAACAGGTCCTGCTATGAACGAGGAATTATGAAGCTCACTGAAAGATGGCAAAAGGTTATCAAACAAAAATGCACAATATATCACTGATTGATCTTTGTTCATTACATAAATAAATGACCTTTGAAAAACATAGACAAAATGCATCATAACTTTTCCAACAACCCAATAGTACCCTGGGATGCTAGAGGAGGGTAAGCAAGAGATTTGAAAGGAGAAAGGTTGGGAGTCCCAGGTTAGCCTTAGAGAGGACTCTACTCTGACACCCATATGGTGGACAGGAGCAGAGCCAGTACCTAGAAAGGTGACAATAGGTGGAAGCCAAGGAGACTTTTTTCTTTGGAAGTTGCTTTTAGGATCACCCCTTCACACTGCTGTCCTGATTCCCACTCCATTATCTTATTAAAATACTGAATTGATGGCCAGCCCAGTGGCTCAGTTGGTTAAGAACTCGCTCAAGTTTGAGCTCTGAGCAACAGCAGTTCGAGTCCCGGCCCGAGCTGAGCAGCCGCTGAGCTGCCAACAGGTGGCAGGATGGCTCAGCTTAAAAAAAAAATACTGAATTGAAAGTCACCAGTAAACTCCTCTGGCCAGACCTAATATCCTTTTATCTTTATTCTTTTTTTTCTTTTTAGTCATTTAACCATGTTTTGAACACTCAACATTTTCAGTGTACTAACTTTTGACTGCCCTATTTTTTGGCTTCTCTATCTGCTTCCTCTCTGTTGTTTTATTGGGAGTCACTCACCAACTCTTAGTTTTGAATAATCCAAAAGTATTAGCCCAGTTATGAAGCATTCCCCTTTTCACCATTTCCTGAGCACACACAAGATTCCATCTCATTTAATCATCACGTATACCCTGCCCTACTAATTAGGTACTAATTTAGGTACCTGATTGAATCCAATCTCAGGCTGATGTCTTCACTGTGCGTGCGTGTGTGTGTGTGTGTGTGTGTGTGTGTGTGTGTGTGTGTGTGAATCTGGGTGACTCTCTCATTCTCTGTGTGCATAAATCATATTTACTTATTCAGATTATAAGTGCTTAAAAATAGAAAATATGAGCAGTGCTTTGAACATGTATTTTGAGTCAGAACTATGTTCAAATAGTGCTATTGCTTACAATGAACTTTTATAGGTCACTAAAACTCTCTGAACCCAACTTTCTACATCTTTAAAATTAAATAATAATACTCACCCCTCTGAGATATAGTAAATGAGAAGATTTTTGTAAAACATATAACATACAGTGGACTTGCAATAAATGATTTCTTCCTGTGTTTTTAACTTCTGAGACATCGCCATTATAGAAACACAATTATTGAGCTCAATTTTGGTTTGATTGATTGATTGAAACTAACAAAATTAGGACAATTGGGATTTACTGGCTAAGCAACCAAATCCCTCTACTACATCTTCTCAACAATGTAAATGATAAAAGTACTATCTCAATAAATCACTTAAATTACTAATTATTACTTTATTTTTTAAGAAAAAGCTAATGGCTGGAAAATAGGAGCGCAACACTTTTCATGTGTCTTTTAAATATTAATAAAGTTATTCATGGTGTTATTTGGGAGGGTCTAGAATGTGAAAAATACAGCATCTCATTTATATTTGATGAGTTCACTTACTGTGAGTTATTTTATTTAATCTTAAGTTTTATTTAGTGATTAATGGAACTAGAGATAGTAAAAGCTGCCTAAAGGGAGTACATACACACACAGAAAATGGAAATGGGTATCAAAAGCTCATTAAAGGGCCGGCCGAGTGGCGCGATGGTTAAGAACCGGCTTGGGATGCCAGAGGGCCCCGGTTCGGATCCCACATATGAGGGCCAGTGACACTGCCCTCCACAGCTAAGATGCTGAACAACAGCT